CAGTACTTGATTAAAAGGAAAGGGAAAGTGAGAAGGAGGCAAAGGAGACAGAGGGCACTTTCACTCAAATGTGCCCGCTTACATCATAAAAATATCTGAGAGAAGAGGGACCTTTTTGGAAGTAGTCTCTGATTCCAGTAAATCCAAGCCTCTGGTATCCACTGAGACAGGTGGCATTTCTAACCTCGAATTGCTTCACAAGGCCCGTTATGGAGAATTCATGTAGATGGGGAGCACTGAGACGCCACTCGTGCAGTATCAAGGTTTAAGCTGCTGCAACAGGGAGAGAAAACATTGCTAATGTTAGGGGGTCAATTCCAGTGGAAAGATTAGTCGTAGAAATAGAGCTCCTTACTTAATCACAAATAGCATGGGCAGAACTGCTGCTGATGGAGAACCTTGACACGTGCCTAAAACATGTACCAGTAAAAGCGAATGTGAATTGTGTTGCCAAGAAGGACAAGAGATTGAGGGAGGCCAGCAGATCAAAGGAGGTAATCCTCCCTCTCTACTCAGCCCTGCTGAGGCCTCACCTGGAGTGCTGCGTCCAGTGCTGGGCTCCCCAATACAAGAGAGACATGGAGCTCCTGGAGCATCTCTCCTATGAGGAAAGCTTGAGAGAGCTGGGCCTGTTCAGTCTGGAGAAGAGAAGACAGAGGCGATCTCGTCAATGTCTGCAAGTATCTGAAGGGAGGGTGTCAAGAGGATGAGGCCAGTCTCTTCTCCGTGGTGCCCAGCAACAGGACAAGAGGCATCGGGCAGAAACTGAACCACAGGGAGTTCCATCTGAACATGAGGAAAAACTTCTTTCCTATGAGGGTAAACTTCTTTCCTGTGAGGGTGACCGTGCCCTGGAACAGGTTGCCCAGCAAGGTTGTGGAGTCTCCTTCCCTGGAGATATTCAAAACCCACCTGGATGCAATCCTGGGCAAGGTGCTCTAGATGACCCTGCTTGAGCAGGGGAGTTGGACCAGATCTCCAGAGGTCCCTTCCAACCTCAACCATTCTGTGATACTGTGATTCTGTGACTGTGGCTCTCTTTAGTGTGTCAGACCTTTGCACCCCAGGTCCTGGCCTTGTTCAGGATAAATACAAATCTTGTTTTCTTGCAGTTATTCCAAACAGAACTATTAGATGCAGAATTCAGAAAATCTTTTTACCAAGAATCATAATCTGAAATGGTGAGTGGCTCTCTTCCAAATACAGTTGTCCATTAAATATGTTGATGACTCCTGAGAAAAAAGTGCTTTTAGGTGGACAGACTGAAGATGGAGGAGATAGATGATTATTTACTGAAGGATAGACACCTGATCAGTATAAGCAGATACTTGTAATGATACTGCCTGACTCAGGAACATCTTGACTTCCTCTTCCCACTTCCCACTTCCCTCTTCCCCCAGCACCCAGTAAAATGCAAATTTCCTGGACTTCTGCAGAACAGCAAAGAGAATATGTGCAATCCAAGTTACCTCTGCACCAAATCTGTTATTTCATTGCACATAAAAAACACATCCTGCTTTGGAAAGCTGATGGTGAAATATGGCACCACTCATTTATTCAAACCACCCTTCATTTCAGGAGCAGGCTACTGCTAAGTTCTGAAGCATTTGCTGTGGTTAGAACGGAAGATGGGAAAGGACTGAAGGAATGAAATACCAGAGCGTTCAGCAAAATCAGCTTAGGTTTGAGTAGTTACAGGGCTCTAGAGGATCAAGGTAAGCTCTGACACATGCTGTAAGGGAGTGCATAGCAGAAGGAAGTGACTGCCAGTCAGGCTGGCTATTAACACGGGGGAAAAATACCCTACCTTTATTGAGGAAACTGCCTTTTCTGTGCAGTGAATTGTTAAAATTTTAATATTAGTTTTCTGAATATATATTAATAGAGGCACTGATACCGAGTTCGCTATCTCTAATATTTATATATATATAAAACAATGTAAGACATTGATTAAACAGGCAGCTGTGGTATCACAGAATCACAGTATCACAGAATGGTTGAGGTTGGAAGGGACCTCTGGAGATCATCTAGTCCAACTCCCCTGCTCAAGCAGGGTCAACTAGAGCACATTGCCCAGGATTGTGTCCAGACCTTGACTGCACGAGTGACGTCTGAGTGCTCCCCATCTGCATGAGTTCTCCATAACGGCCCTTGTGAGGCAATTCAAGGTTAGAAATGCCACCTGTCTGGGTGGATACAGAGCAGTATTATTCTGTAATCTAGAGTGGGAAGAAAACCAGGATTTTGTTTCCATAGGTTTTTGTGATAGCATCAGCAGAATTGCCCCCACTCTATTTCCTTCTATCACAGAAGTTAGCTGGCATTTCAGGCTGGTACAGATGCAGGTACTTCACACACCCACCAAACAAAATCATGTATGAAGCTGGAGAGCTCCAGTTTTCCTCCTTCTTCAGTTCCCCCCGTATGCAACAGGTTAAATAACATCGTGCATTCATACAAAATACAAAAACCAGTTTGGTTTAGTTCTGGCAGAGCCACTGAAGTCACATTACCTCTTACCCAGGGAAATAAAGCAGAAGTAAGGTAGGCTCTTAGCTTCCTGCCAGGGCACTGAAGCTCCTGCAATCGTAAGGCCTCTAGGTCCACCTTTAAACATCATCCAATTCTTCAACATTTTTGTTATGGTACTGAAGATTTTTAGGACTTTAAAAGTGTCTCTAAAGCTTTAATGCTTCTATAATTGACAATTAGATACAATTATGATACTTTCAACTTCTTATCTGATCCACATACAGATCTTGTTTCAACTGCCTCCTTTGTAGGAGTTACTGTCCCATTTCAAAATTCTTAATTGCAATCATACACTTCAGCAAGAGTGAGAAGTCAGGACTTAAGCTCTAATCCAGACTGCCTCCATCCAGACAGGACTGACCATAACAATTGTACAGGTTCAACCTGTCCCTTTCATAGCAGAGAGGGATTTTAAACAGAGGATTTCTTTATGCCAGACAAACTCACGCACTCTATGCTATTCTCAAATTCACTTAACAGACAGCATCTGGTCTGAAGATCTTTGCGAGATGGGAGAAATAAGGCCAGATCTTGAACTGATTTTTGGGAACTTCAGTTTACTGTAGGGTTTTATGGCTGAGAACATATCTAGAGAATGCTGACATTTTTTCCCTTGTCTTCTCCCCCTGTGAATACAGATTTCAGACGATCTTCCAGAAAATTCACTAATCTCTTGATTCTGTAGAAATCTATGATTAGTGGATCTTTGCCCCTCCATTCTTGTCTATCAAGTGGATTATTTTTTGCAAAATTGCAACTTGTTGCTTCCTTTCCCCCCTGCTTTGTCAATTTTGTGTAAGCAGCAGATACAGAGCTACTTATGGGCTAGACTAGGTAGAAAATGCCCCTCGTTCTGCAGGCAGTGCTCCCTTAAAAAGGAAGGGAAAAAAAGCCAAGGCACCAGCTATACGATAAACCATCTGCAGATGAACAAGCTCAATGTATCTGTGTCAGCTTACACAGTGAAAGTCTGTACTGCAGCGAAAGCTCCTGTTACATTCTGTCTCTCTAGGGAGCCTTGTTATGTCTGTAACACCTCTACTCCCACTAAAACTCTTCACCACATTGTGGTCCTATAACAAGTTAACCACAGCTCATGGGCCAGTGTTGGCTCTTTTCAGTTTTGCCACCTTTTGACAATCACCTGGATGCCCTTTTTGATGTATAACAAACAACCTGACCTGAAAGTCAACCAATCTCAAGTGAAGACTATGTTACTGAACACCCAATTTAGATTAAGGAACTACTTATTTTAAAGGAAAAAAGAAAAACAAAACCAAACCAAAGAAAAACACCCCAAGCCACACCTCAGGGTTTTTTTGTTTGTTTGTTTGTTTCTTTGATGGTCAGACATAAGGAAAGAATCAAGGCAGCAACCTTTTGCAGGAAGCAGCAGATTCCTCTGGCCGGTAAACCTGCTAGAATTATTTTACCATTCACAAATTTGGTAAAGAAATAGCAAGCTTTGCATAAGCTCATTGTATGCAGAGGTTTGTGACACATTACCTGCTGGAAGTTACTGGAAAGATCTTTTAGTGAAGATTACGTAATCAGGAACAGTATTAAATCTCAGATGACTTCCTCAGTTTTCAAACCTGCTGATTTAAAGCACCTTAAGTGTACTCCTTTATAGGAATAACTCAGTAATTTAGTTACCAAAGAGCTACCTGAGCTGTTTCAAAGTTCCTTTGACAAGGATTTGTTCACCAATCAAAGCGTAGAAGAACTAGTTAAACCAATAGGTCTCTTTATCAGTCGAAAAATAGCTAACATTAGCCGTTCACTCACGTTAGAGAGCACAACATCAGAAGTACCTAATTCAAAGGATTAAGCACTCCTGCCAACAAAAGTATTTTTTACTATCTAAAAAGCAAGAGCTCAATATGCTTTAGCTTGACTGCTTCATATACATTCGATTTTTAATGCTTTACACCACCTGAAGCCTTACTGTTTTTGCTGTAGGAAGCCGTGTGTTCACAAATTAACGATCACTGTGAACCTTACTGTTAATTTTGTAACTTGGCAACAAGAAGGCGACAGAATTTTCAGGTGTCTCCTTGCTCGTTCACCTATATCCATACTACTCTTGTCTCTACCCCAACTACAGTGAAGTTTTTTGTATGTTTAGGCTTAATTGGCCTTCCCAAGAAACAGCAAGTGACTGTTCCTTCTATGACAACCCTCTGAGAACAAGCAAGTTCTCCTTATGCTGGCAGTCAGATGGGGTCTTGTGTGCTGGTAAGTTACACAGTTCCAACACAGGCCTAAAACCCACATGTGGATGTGGCTTTGTCTTTTCATTTGTTTTAATGTCTAAGTTTATACTGTCAGCAACAGGTGGCCCAGTGTAGGCTCATCTTCTCTAGAAACTGCAAAAACATACTATAAGGCGGGATTTTAATTTGGTATTATGGAACAACCACCTTACTTGAAGGACACTGTACAAAAGAAAAACCATCACAAGTCAGTCAGTGTTTAAGGAATTTTTATTAAAGCAAGAATTTTATAATCCAAATTACGTTTCTTTGCTCAGCTATCAATTCTCACTGTCAACTAAAACAGTGGTGATATTCTGAGCTTTTCCACAGTAAAGAATTACAAAATTAAAGAAAGGAATGCTTTAAATTTTTGTACTGTGCTGAAAATTCTTTTCCCCCGGGTTTATAAAACATTAATTTGTATTTTTTATTTTACTATTTTTTTTTAATTTTAAATCAATAAGTAATCTAGGACTAACATTTGTTTTGCTAGTCCCGGCATTGCTCTGTACATAAGCTTCAAAGTTTCCTTTCCTTTTTTTATTTATTTTTTATTTTGCAATGTTTTTCTCAATATTTAATAGTTTTTCCATGTTTAGATTTTTTTTTTTTCTTCGGTGAAGCGAAGTTCTAGATTGTAGTCCCGGATCTTTCTGTAAACAAAAATAATGTTATTAGTTTTTGAAATTAAAGCAGTTCTGTTTTCTAGTATGCTTATTTTAACTGTAAGCTCCATAACATTTCGGGCTTTCACAGTACCAATCACACCATGCAAAAATTTTACAAGCAGCCTATTACAGGTGTATCTCACTTTTTACAGATATAGAAGGAAGGTATCTTAAGTTTACTTTGAAAGACAACTGAGTCTAGAACTATATACAATACTCAGCACAGTGTGGCCTTGGACAAGGGTGAAGCACAATAATTTGTTACTGTAACTAATTTGATTGCAGGTCACCTCTACTCTAAGGGCAGACTACCAAGTCTCATACTGAGAGAACCATCCAACTACTACACTAACACTTAATGTAAATATTTTCATATTCCAAGTATGGAAGCATTATGGGACACAAGAAGTTACGTTATCAAAGTCTGAGCAGTTTAGTTTAAGACAAACAACTATTCAGTACTTGTTTATCTCCAGTATGAAAACGTCACCGGTGGGGGGAAAAAAGGAGGAGGAGGGGGAAAAAAGTGAAGAAAATATGACGTAAATTGTGCCTCCAAAAGGTGGGTTGCAGAAGTGAAAAGGCAAAGGAAAATTGTAAGTGATCAAACATGAAAAGTAGGGCTAGTCAATTAATAGCCATTAATAAGAAAAGTTTATATGCAGGCAAAGCCTAACTGGACCGAATGGGGAACAGACTCCCGTATTATGCCAAACTCTGCAACACTTTCTCCCCTTTTGAAACTGAAGATACCACCCTTTCGCTTCTTCCTGAGGTGTAAAATCAAGATATAAACCCTCAGAAGATAATCAATTACTGTATAATTTTAGATTTTGGAAAGTAATTAAACAAATTGTAGTGTAAATAAGCTATTTCATATTTGCAGAACAATAAGATTGGAGTAAAGATCATTCTAAGGTTAGTTCTCTTCCAAAATTTGCTAATGTTCCTCTTGAACAACAGCCTGAGTGATTGCGTTTGACAGAACTGCTCATCTTTGCAAGTATGCCCAGAACTTGAAAAGCTAACCCCAAATTCTAGAAATATTCTTGCCACTATTTTCAAAGTTTAATTTAAATGTATGGTGCCTTTTATTCAACAAAATTTGAATCTTAAATTCCTCTGAGGATCTCAATTATTAACAGCCTCCAGCAGATACAGTCTTAGCGTCTATTTTTCCTGAAGACTTGCATTTATGAGCTATAGAACTGAACAACAGTACTGAGCACAAAACTTGTCTCAACTGTGGCAATAAATGCTGCTTTTTGTGGCTGCAAATGATAGAGCGCAATCAAGTGTGTTGCTTATAGGCCACAGACTAAGGACTACTGCTCTAATCAACCTATAAAACTGTATTCCACACAAAACCAGAAAACTTACTTATTAAACACTTGGGACCCCAGTGGGATTATTAACTGCCTTTTGAGCAGCCTCTTTAGCTTGGTGGGCTTGTAGTACGGCTACAGCTTCATCAACCTGGTAAGTGTAAAAAACAAACCAAAATAAACAAAGCAAACAAAAAACCCAAAGGTAAACTTAATTATTTCTGCATACTTAAGTTAACGAAGCAGTTTAAATTGCACATACAAACAATACTTGCACCATTAAAAAGAAAAGCATAACAGTTATAGCCCCAGTTTATGCTAGCGTAAGTCACTGCCACCCACTGCAAGAGGATATTCTAACTTCTCCTTGCCCTGGGCCGCTTTGTTGCATTGCATTGCTACTCCACTCTGCCAGCATAAACACTTGTTAAGCCAGTGAGATTTAACCGCTTATGAAACTAGCATAACGCAAAAATCCGCCCACCTTCGAACGAAGAGACTCAGGAGACTCGAGCATGTGAAGGAGTTCAGAGTTGTCAATCTCCAACAACATGCCAGTGATCTTACCCGCCAGAGTAGGGTGCATGTTTTGAATAAGAGGAAATAGACGTTCACCTAGGGGGAGAGAAAAAAAAAATAGTTAACCCACAATGATAAATCTCATCTGGCAAACGCAGCCGGGATTTAAGGAGAAAAGGCAGCAAATACCTCCTTAGTCTAAGGCTTATTCTAAGGCATTTAATCTACATTTTAAGATTCATACAAGAGTGCTTTGAATGTCCCTTACAAGTCTTTTTTTTAAAACACAGGCCCCAAAACATTTAGCCTCTGCTACAAGGCATAAAGCAAGATACCACATACATACCTAACATCTGCTTTTGTTCTTGTGGGGGGGCAGAAGCCAACATGGAAGCAGTCAAGGGTTCCTGACCTTGCACATGGACAGCAGGCTGCAAATTAATTTAACACCATTTCAAAATTAAGTTCTTGTCCGTAATTAGATACTGCTTCAAATACCCAGCATTCCACAACTCAGCATAAACAATGCATACACCATCAGAAATACAGAAGAAATTCCAGCTAGGTGAATTTAATAAGACAGCGCTGGTAAATGCTGAGTGATACTGGAAATTAGTATCAACCACTCCATTGTGGAGTGAACACAAGGAGAATTCAGACTGAGGTATCAAGCAACTGGAAAATAGGAAGTGAACATAGGATCATATCCTGTCCCAGGTGAACCTGAAACATATTTTAAGGCCCAAGTCCAACTCTGGTGCAGCCTGAATTCTAGAAAAATAAATACAATTCTTAACTGTAAGCCCAATTCCCTCCCCAGCTTCTCCTCCCCCCCCCCGAAAAAAATACAGCAAAAGCATGCCCAAAATCAAATACATACCTGCTGCATAGCAACCTGTGGCTGTGTATTAAGATGCTGCTGAGGATTACGAACACCTGCAGCATATTTGTACTGTGGTACTGTGCGTACAGCAGGAGTAGCTGCAGTAGCTGCTGCCGCAGGACGTGGACCCATTGTTTGTGTTGATGTATTAGCTGAAAAAAAGATAACGTTATTCTGTATGTGAATAATTTTTATTTAGCGTACACTGTACAGAAGTTAAAGCAGCCAAAACTGAATAACTAATTTAGGTATTGCATTATAAAGTCATCTTACAGTAGTACTGTCAGCTGTCGCACCACTGATCAGATCAAAGCTAGAGGTTTACCAGGAGTTACTTTCCAGCCACTTCACTAATGAATTGCTTTGCTTACATGGAATACAAAAAAGACCTAGAAGAAAATACTCACTTTTGGCTGAGCAGTAACTTAATTTCATTCTAACCTCAAAGGACGCTTGATTCCTAAGCCTGCTATAGCAGTAAGTCATCCTAAAAAAAGATATTTTCAGGAAGCAGCTAGCTAAAAATACTATTGCCTAATATGTTCTGGGAGAGTTAAGACTCCACTACAATGAATTCTGGTTCAGTGATGTGCAGACACTGTCCATATGATACTTTGCTCACTGTTTTCTATGACAAAATATTAAGAGCTAAAATTGTAATACCAAATCAATAGTTTTACACACAACCTATTATTGCAATTGCCATAATGATGTTTAGAAATGGCAGAAGCCACCATACAATATAATTAAAATGCATGCTAAGAAAAAGAAATGGCTCATGCTAGAGATAGACCACAGCAGAAGTCTGGATCTTCAGTCTTCATTGGGACAACATTTTAAGCAACTACTACAAGTTGGTGCTAGCTTACTATCTAGGAAGAGCCAATAAAGGAGGGAAGCAGTAACATATATGATATTACACTTCTAAAGGTTTTTAAGAGATCATTCAGAACTAGCCATTCCCCCCCCCCCCCCCGCAGC